CACTACGGTAACGGGTAGCAGTTAAAACCCCACGGCAGAGGGAGCGCAGCTACATAATTAGGGACCCGGGGAAACGCTGTGAGGCGGGCAAGGCGTTGGGGCGGAGGGTGACAGCGGCGCCACTCCCCCCACAATCTCTAGCCACAGATCCGGCTGAGCGCTGGGGCGGACACAGCTCCCCCGAGCCCCTCAGAGAAGGGGGCAGAGACACGTGCGATAGGCGCCCGGGGGAGGCGCGAGGCGCAAGGTGCCGCGGGGGTGGGGGGCGCCCGGTGCCCTGAGTACCTTGGTCATCCCGACTCCCACCACAAACACTCTCCTGTCCAACGGGGCCATCCTGCAGCTGTGAGAGGAGCGCGCATGCGCGCGCGCTCGAGCCGCCACTGGGCGAAAAGGAGGCGGGCGCTAGCTAGCCGAGAGGACGGGTCGCCCAATCCCGGAGCCACGCCCCCTTACTGCCAGGCGAGAAGAGCCAAAGGTCGCTGAGGGGCCCCCGGGGAGGGGTGGGGTTGGCGCCGTTCTCCTGCCTCTTCCCCCCCGCCCCTTCTCTTAAAGGGGCAGCGCCCTTATAACAAACTCTTGCTATCCTTGTCGCCACTTGTCCCTTTCATCGGCTTTACATTAGGGCAGCGGGCGGGAGGAGGACGACGAGGTCGCCTCAGTGTCAGTGGCCGAAAGGGCAGTTGGAGTCGCAGCCAGACCGGCACCGCCGCAGGGCGGATCCGGCCACTGGGCCCATGGGGGTGGGGCCTCTGCTGGGGTCGCTCCAACCAAGGCCGATAGCTGGGGCTGGTGTCCCGTGCCTAGCCCCTTTCCCGGGACCGGCCCCCGGCTCGCACCCGCGGCGGCCGCGTGCCCTCTGAAGAGCGTTAACCGCCGGCCGTGGCGCGTGCCGCCTCCCGCAAAGGGCAGGATCGGGGCCTTGGACTGTGAACTCTCGAGGGGCGGGGCGGGGCGGGGCGGTCTGCGCCGCCCACAGCCCTGTTCGTGTCTAACCTCCGCCAAAGGCAGGGCCGATTAACTTTTTGTGGGCCCCGCGCCTAGGGTGACCAGATGTCCCGATTTTATAGGGACAGTCCTGATTTTGGGGTCTTTTTCTTATATAGGCTCCTATTACCCCCCATCCCCTGTCCCGATTTTTCACACTTGCTGTCTGGTCACCCTACCCGCGCCAAACATATTTTGGGCCCCCCCGGGCAAGGTGCAGAGTGAAGGGCGGGCTGGGGGCAATGAGGCACAGCGTGGCAGGAGCAGCCCTGTGCAGCCCAGCAGGAGGGCACACTGGCCTGCCCAGCCCTGTGCTGCCAGCATGCCCCTTCCCCATGACACCGGCACCACACCGCCCCCCTGCCCAGTGCCCCACCCTTATGCTCAGTGCCCACCCTTCCCAGAGACCTCCCCTCTTGGCCTCCCACCACAACTGCACAGCACCCTGCACGCCACACCACTCACCCAGTGCCCCCCGCCTATAGACCTCCCCACTGCCCACCACCTTCCTCACAGTCCCACCTGCCCAGCACCCCATCCATGTTCCTGAGGGGATTCTGCACCAAAAAATTAAAAATTCTGTGCACAATATTTTAAAATTCTGCAAATTTTGTCAATAAATAAATGTGGAGGCTCCAACATGGCAGTGGGGAGCACAGGCCACTGGTTACATGGAGGTGGGAGATTATCCTGCAGCCCCCCACCCCACCCCGGACAGGGACTCGGCAGTAAGGCTGCACCCATCCCTGACACAGGGCAAGGGCCAGGCTTGCCCCAGAAACACCCTTGGGCCCTGCCCCCCTGTGCCAGGCG